CTGTTTTCTTCCCCCTTTTCTATTAGAACCGTAATTGTTGCCAGCCTGCTCCCTGAGATATTTTGGAGCCTACAGAAACCTGTCTAATTTGAAAATTTTAAGACACCACACCATAAATCTTGCCAGCAAGTTTTTTTTCTAATGTCCTTTGGTATGCTGGGCAGGGGAAGAGGAAGTGTTTAAAATGGTGAACATGCTGAGCCTGGGGCTTGTGGGCTGCTGAGAATCGGAGTGGTGCAGGTTAAGTCATTGAACAACACTGAAGAGAAGAAGAAGCAGGCTTTATTCTTGTCAAGCAAATAAACTCTGTTTTATAAGCAAATATTTTTCTGTGGTGCAATTTAACATGCAAAGTAACTGATTTCTGAGTTCCTTCCAAATCAGTTAGTGTTGTGATAGGAGGTTGCTCACTTACATCATCACGAAGCTGGGGAAGGAAACAAAACAAGCCAGAATATTAAATCTGACTCCGTGAAAGCTGTACTGGTGGTGGCTGAGATCAAGCCATGCTCCTGAGAGCTGGCTGTTCATGTTGCTCCAGCAGCCTGGTGAGAAGTCAGCATATCAGAGCTAGGTGGATCACATCTGCAGGTTGTCGTCTGCCTATCTAGATCAGTTACTGTAAATGCTTGCATTCAGACATTGGCACCTGAGTTAGGCAAGTGAGCTTGGTCTGAGGTATGCATTCTGAGTGACTGAGAACTGCTAAGAATTGACATGAAGTTTTTCTTTCTTTTTTTTTCTTTTGTGCTTCGCAGTTTCTAGACACTGAATTCGAAATTAAATATGTGACTGATGTTTTCATGTTTGTTGAACTGTTTCTACTTCGGACGTGACAAAGAAGAGACTGCATTAAATATTACGGAGAAATAATCTGTAGGAGGTGATAGAAATTCTCTAATTCTTAGGATTTTTTAAAAAATAGGAATTGCACTCCATAGTTAACACATTTTAACATGTCTGTGTTAGAGCCCAAAACCTTCATGTGTGGTTATGGCAGAAATATTGTAAGAGAGCAGAAGACAAACCTGTGTTGCTGAAGAAATCTGGAGACATGTCTATCTGGCTCAAAAAGCATAAGTCTATAACTTAGTTGATTATCAAAACAGTTTTATTTTTATATATATATATATAATATTATTTATATATATATATATATGCGTATATATAAATGTACATATATATAAAGAGAGAGAGAGAAAGAGAAAGAGTGAGGATTTCCTATCAGTTGAAAGTCATTGCCCTAGTATTTTTAGGTGGTATAAAAAGAAGTCCCCAGATGACTTTAAGCACTGGATAGAAAAATTACCCATACTCTTTACCTTCAGGGATACCAGATGTTGCTCTTGCTGTTTAAAACATTGTGAATTTCTGTCATAACAGAGTGCACATAAGCTTATCTCGTGTTGTAGCCTGTACACAGAGGTTTTATCTTTTGTGCAGTTAATCTTTCAAGATCATTCTGATCGTATTTAAAATGCATTTTCTTTTTTCTTGTTACTGGAAAAAAAACAACAAAACAAAACCAATACCAATATAAGAGAAAAATCCACACCCAATCCAGACCATAAATAAATGGGAGGTTTCATGACAGAAGGGTAATGCATCTTGTAAATGAGGATGGGATCACCTTTCAACCGTGCATGTATGGAAACTCTGCTTTGAGGCTGAATAAATAAAACCCAGCAGTATGCAGTGTGCCTGAATTGGCAAATTTTGTACTATTGCTCTTGATTGTAGCTCACAAATTGTATGATTATACGCATGGCTATGCTACAGTGACTTCTGCCAACTTCCTTCTGCAAATGTTTTTCTGGTTTTGGAGGCACTGTGCAAATGACCAGAAGGAACAGGTTTTATTTCTTCATGTCCTTTCATATGGAGGATTTTGTGTTGCAGAAGAGAACTGAGCTACGCATCATTAAACTGTGCCACTTGATCCTAACGCCTCTCCGTCAGTATATCAGCAACTTTTAATGGAATCAGTGTGGCCATCTCCAGGCCAAAGATGATGTTTCACCAACTGCCAATTTGCTGACTAATGAAGTTCATGCCATTTGATTTTTGAAGCATTAGAAAAGCACTGAAAAATAATAATTAAAAAATATTCCTGGTATTTCTTGAATGGTTTCCAACTGCTAAGGAAGCTTCTCTGAAAAGAGAAGTTGAGCCTTCAGAAAATTTGAATCACTGCTCAGCTGTCAGCCAGTGACTTTTGATGGCTTCTAGGCTGCTTGGCATATAGGCAGATCCTTTGGAAGAATGGCTCTCAATCCCTACTAGAGGACAACACGTTTTCACAAAGGGCAAGGCAGAAGTTCAGCTCAGGTTGGACTGAAGATTTCTACATCCAATTTCTACATCCAGCTTCTTTGAACATTTCTAGTTTTTGTGTTGTGGTTTTAAGTGTTTGCATTAGATGAACTGTACACCAATTCTTCTTTAGCATGCTCTTTCTCTTAGTTTGGAGTCTTTTCCTTTTATTACCATGTATAATAACAGTTCCAAGCTGCTTGTAATAAACAGCATGGTTCTGAATGGCAGTTTTGGTATTGTTGATGAGAGTGGTGAACTCTGAGACCTTCTTCAAATCAACTTTCATGAAATTCTCCTTGAGGAGGCACAGGTCATTAATACGTAGTGGTCATTCACTTAGAGTTGCTCCTTAATAAAGAGAGAAATGGAGAAAAGTTTCAAGCCAAAGCTTACAGCAAAACCATGCATTCAAATAATTCTCTTTGGAAACATTTTAAACAGCATTTATTGCTTTGATGTTACCTTGATCATATACTTTAATGCTTAATTAAAAATAAAACTCCAAGCATCTGAAATTATATTTTACATTAAAGCTCAAAGGGAGTAGTTTTAAGTATTTTTTGCTCAGACAAAAGAAATGTCAGACTACTTGATGTTGTTTGTCGTACTAGAGGAGTACACCATTGGCACTGATGTGGATGATGTTGGCTTCCATGAGAATACTGATGTGGATCAAGATTGCTTTTAAAAATAAGGGTGTGAGAGAGACATTTCAAGGAAAAGCAAGTAATAGAAATCTGTACTTCTGGGCAGAGGGTTCTCAGTGTGTCAGCTGGGTTTGAAAGAAAGCTAGATAGAAGGGGAAAGCTGCTCTCCTGTTACTTAAGGATTTGTTAGGCCTTCACTATCAGATTCCTCATCTGCAATGAACATGATGAATGGCAAAGGCCCAGGGCAGCTGGATGCTGTCTCTGTGAGCTATGATCCACTTCTGCACAACTGGCTGCACGTCCTTGTCTTTGGGGTCCACAGTGGAAATAGCCTCATATTTCTCTCACCTCATTTTTTCAATCTTCTTTCCTCACTGATGTGTCTGAATGGTTCTGTTTCTCTGCAGGTATCTGACAGACTCGAATTCTGAATTTGTAGAAAGCCTGCAGGTGACCCTTCAACATTAGCTGCTGCAGCAGTTGTTTTAGGGATGAAGGGTAAAGGATGGACACAGTGCTAGCTGTATCATTCTAGGTTTTTTTCTGGAAAGATGAGCAGTACTCTTCTTCAGCCCTTAAAAAGTTTGACTTTACCCACATAGTACACTATGGCTGGCTGCTGCTCTATCCTACCGGGTCCTATGGGGACAAGAAAACAGAAAACCATGACATAGCCAGTACGCTTTGCTGATGCCAGATAACTTGTGCTTTTCTTATTAGAGTATACATTGTGCCAGTGTCGGTGCACAGATTTTATCCTAAGTTTTATTGCAGTGCTGCAAATAGCTGAGGAGATGGGGAGACTGCATAAAAACAGTTTGTGCTGTGTTTTTGGAGAAATTAATCTTTTTTCGGCTGGTCTGAGTACAAAGGCCAGACAGCCCCACTGAAGGAGGGTTTGCACGAGAAGCTCTGTCACTGTCAGTGTGTAAGCATGCATATGCCACCCATTTTAATTCCAGCATAACTGTTGTTTAAAACTGCCTTACTGCTCAGAGCAGAGCATTGCCTGAAGGGACTCACTGCACTGAAGCACAGGAAGGCTGTGCAGTTTTCCAGCTGTGAAGAAGGATGTCATTGCTGCTGGTGAAATTATGAGGGCACCTGTTCCCTGAAAAACTGCCTGAAGCCACTGGCTCATTTTGTTCAGGGCAGTGGATAATCAACGCTGGTCATGGCTGTAGGTCAGTGTTGATGCAAACCAGGCTGAAGTCAATGAGTCATTACCAATCCCATGAGAATCTTAGTCCCATTAAGAAGCATTATTTTAGCAGCGTATCCTACAGGATACAGCAAAACAGAAAATGCTCTGAGAATTCTCCATTGTTTTGCTTTTTGTAATTGTAAGTACTGGCTCAAGACTTGAACGCTGACCCTGTGGTCTCCATTCTGTTCCTGGTGGACGGGGCTGTGAGTATAGACAGGCACGGCAGCAGCTGGCACTAATAATCGTGCTTGGCAGTCTCAGCAGAGAGGAGAAGGAATGCAAATCAGTGAAGACACTGAACAGCTTTCTCACTAGGAATAGAGCCCTCGTAGATAGGTTTCAGGTGTGCTGCTGTGGCAGCTGCTTCTTTCTGGACCTGCAAGCTGTCAGATTCAAAAAGTTCTGCTAGATATAGGTTTAGGTCATAGTTCTGGTGCTTGGCTAGATCACGTTGGGTGTATAAGTAAATGCTTTCCTGCAATTCATCTTTTTCAACTGACTTGCAGACCCCTTGTTGCTGTTGGTGATCCATAAACTTCTAAGAACACTGATGTGTTTATTTTTTTGGTTAATGTTGTTTCACATAAGAGTAGTAGGTAAGCTTTACAATAAGAGGACTAACCTATGTATAGTTACTTGCTATTACAAAAGGAGGAATACTTGGAATGGGTAGAAGGTAAGTCTGAAAATGCACAAACAAGACCTTTGTAAGTGGCAAAATATCAAAATTCCTTGTAGGACCATCAGTATCACAGTACTGGCAGCTTGTGACAGTCATTTGAGATGTAAACATATTTTTTAAATATTTATTTTTTTCTATTTTGTAGGGACCTGAACTGATGAATAAATATGTTGGTGAGTCAGAACGAGCAGTGAGAGAGGTGAGAAAGCACAAGCTGTCTTGGCATTCAAATCCTTTGGTGCTTATAAGGTTACCTTTAAATTTTCTAAAAAATCTCCTTTTGGTTTAAGTTTAAAAACAAAACAAAACAGAAGGGATATGTGTGGGGTTTAACTTCCTTCTGCACCAACCTCATGATGCATGTCCAATTCAGTCTCCAGTAGCAACTTTCACTACAAGCCTATATCACATAGAATCAGGAGTACCTACTGAAAGGAGTGTTTTTTAAAAAAATGTCTCTTAAGTGTCTTATGGCTCTTCTGTGATGCTCTGTAGCTTTTGGGGAATACAGTGCTGATAGCATTATGTAAGAAATGTCAGTCCCTTAAAACTGAGTGCGCCATTGTTGTTTTTCTAGATCTTTAGGAAAGCCAGAATGGTGTCTCCTTCGATTCTTTTCTTTGATGAAATAGATGCCTTGGCAGTTGAAAGGGGAAAGTAAGTAATTCTGTTATAAAAATCACAGACCTTATGTTCTGATAAATTACTTTTATGTTGTGCAATCAGAAGTGTATTACTTTTGTAGAATTATTTTATTAAATTTATTTCCACATGTAAAAGAGTAGTGATATCAAGCATATTTAACGTGGTACAAACAGGTAAGTTGGTGAAGTTCCTTCTTTCTCATGTCATGAGCAAGAAGAATTCTGCTGGTTCTCATTCCCTTGGGCTCTTTACTGTGGTTTTAACCTGCAGTTATTTTCAGTAACCAACTCCTTTCTTTTCCCAAGGTTGTTGCACTGTCCCAATATAATGTCTCCATCAAGAAGGGGAGATGATCTTATGTTATATAACTTTGGAATTTCCAAAGAGATTACCCGTATGCTGAAATTTAAACTTACGTTTAAGCTTTTTGCCAAGGGAAAAACTTCATGAAATAGTTCTGGGAATTTTGACCTTAAAAAGGGATTCTTGTGCAAACAGCTAACAATCTTACTAAAATACCCTTCCTGTTGTTGATTATGAGAGGTGTTTAACTTTTGTCTGAAGGAGGATTATAGGAGGTTTTGTTTGCTACAATGGCATTTAAGACTTGGCTGGCTATGGAAGGAGTTGTTCTTAGGAGTCTTAGGAGTATCCTTCCATAATATACTTCTAGTAAATGAGTGAATGACTTTTTGTTGTTTTTCTTTTCCTGTTTTGTTAGATTTGCCTGAAGAACTATGAAATGTAAGCATGTAGGAAGTATTTCTCTAGTTCAAAAGCATCTCAGATTTCCATTGTGTTTTTGGAAAAGGAGCTACCTCAGCATCCATTTAGATCCCTATGTATTGTAAGGGGGCCATTAGTACCTGCAGAAGAGGGTAAACGACATCAGTCCTGATATTTCAGCAACTGAAACTGTTTACATAACAGGAGATGACATCTAGAGTAGCACAAAGCTGCCCTGTGAAACTGCTAACAAATGAACACGTTTTCTGTTGCAACTGTAAAAGCTGATATGTCTTCACAGCATCATTTTCGTAATACATTGTATGCAACTGTGAAATCTGTAAACTTCCTAGAAATGTCTGCCAACCTGTGGCATGCACTGAAACACCTGCCTGCTTATCGCAATAGAGAAGCTGCAAAAATGTGTGCTGGAATCAAGCCAATAGGAAGAAAAAAATTTCCCCTTGCTGAAATGTTAATGTGTTTAGCTTTCAGAAACACTGCTTCATCAAGATAAAACCTTTTGGAAGAATAAGATGCAGTACATTTTAATCAGCCTTTTCACCCCATGTCCTGAAGGCATTGAGTTTGTTTATTTGTTTTATTCTTTTAGGGGATAAATAACCTAATTTTACCTTACCTGGAACTGTCTGTGGGGGGTAGTAGGCCTGGCACAGCTTGCTGAAGAATGTGGTATGACCTGCTGCAGTCATGTTGCGCTGGAGACATCTGGTTTTGGAGCTTTAAAAAGAACAGGGTGGGACACACAAATATTTCATTGTCAAATCTGAACCAGATGGGAGGTAAAATATGTAGCAGAGTTCTCATAAAATTCATCTGAAATTAAATGGTGTAGGAAACCAGACAAGGCACTTATTAGAAATGACCTTTTTTTACAGGCTGACTTTGCACAGTAGGAATTTGCAAATGCATTAGAGATGCTAACGATTTGTGGCCTCTGGAGATCCATTTCCTGTACTGTTACTAGCCACAGTGAAGTTTTCAAGGAAACACCTGTTTATATTGTCTCCCTATTCCCTCTGTTGGTTGAATTGGTTTTCTCTGTCTTGGCAGTGAAAAACTCTCTGTGGTACAGCTTTGGAAAAGATTTTCTTCTTAGTTTAAATCTTAGGATTTTGTGGGCTGTGGGGTTTGTGCATCTCAAAACTTCCTGGGCAGGTACCCGCTCCTGGTCCTCACATGATGTGTCAAGAGATAACAGTTTGTGCTTTTCTGTAAGTTGTGAGAGCGGTTTTGTGCATAGTTCAGATCTAATATACAGATGTGAAGTAACATTAATTGCTTAATGGTCTTCAGAGCACTTTGCCAAATATTTATTAACCCATTAGTACTTGTTTAAATTTGACTAAAGCTTGTGGGTTTGAAATACATAAATGTTTTGCTCCCAACTCTCTGTAGAGGTCGCTAAACAATCCCTTCTCATCAGCAAGCACATACAGATTAATAGACTTGGTAATTGACTGCAGCCAGTTATAGCAGGTAGACCAACAAAACAAGAGAATCTTCTTGTTTGTACCACTCAGTGGACTGTCTGTCACTGCTCAAGCCATGGCAAACATTGTAGCTGAATTCAAGTCTGCCACAGTGTTTTATTTATTTTACCATTCCCCGCCAAAATTCTGTAATTTTAATGCTCTTCCTAGTTTATCTAGTCCTTTTGGAAGACTTTTCACTCTGATTTATGTTGAGGCATTAGAGGAAGCTTAGAGAGAAATAAAAATTAAACAAAAACAAGGTAAGAATAGGGTTTGAATGGACTGACAAGGAAAAAGGGAAGGATGTACTAAAACTGATTCTAAAGAATAAATGATAAATCTAGAAATGAAAAGATGGAGGGGAAAGCAGAGGTACACAGTTAGTCTAGAATAGGATAGATGATCGCATTAAGACAGAAGAAACCTCTGAAAACCAGGAAGACTTTTGATAGTGAATTCTCCTTCACTGTGGGTTGGTACTGTGGAAGAAGCTCAGGCAACGTTCAACTTGACATATTTCAAATGAACTGTGTGATGCATAAAATCTTCTCTGTTGTCCTATGGCTGTAATTAATGATAGGCTCATGATTTTTTTTTTTTCTTTGCTTTTGCAAGTTGATGTTACAACTCTTTAGAGGAGAGACTGTGCTAAAGGGAGCCCCGCAGGATTGGTCCAGATACAGCAGCACATGGAGAGGAATGTTTGCCTCTCAGTAATCCCTTCCCTGCTCAGAGCTCGAGTCTCTTAACAAATTGCACAGCTGCGAAGAATTATGGGTATTTGTTATTCCTTGGTATCCTGACTATGTAAAACCTAATTCTTCTGGCCATTAGAGGTTGCCAAGAGGGAAATGGCTTGGTAATTAGACTTGAAAGTGATGAATGAACATGGCTCTGTGTAAATGCAGCACAGACAGTCTGTTTGCTGAACTTAAGAAATCTATGTGCTTTGGAAATGGGACATTGTTTATATAAGTAGGATTTTTAGGATTTTTGGGCAATGGACATATTTGTTCCTTTTCTTGTTTTTCAGAAGCAAAGCATTTTCCCCTTTAACTGGAGATCTTTGTAACGTAAGATAGGAAATGTAGGCTGATGGGAAAGACTCTGTTAAATACCATTTTCAAAGCAGGAAAAAAAAAAAAAAGAAATCAAAGAACAAAGATCAGTACATTGCATTAGTGAGTGCCAGTACAAGTCGGTAGATGAACAGTACTATTTTGGAGCAAAAGTAGAAGTGACAAAGTGAAAAGGCTTTGGTACAAATCCTCTACAAGTTGATGATGCTCTTCTGGAGAGTTGTGTTATCCTGAGTGTTAGGCCCCCGATAGCTACATTCTGAAGCCACAAATTAATTGACTCAAAATGTCTGGAAGTTGTGCTGTTTTCACTGCAGTCTGGACTTTCAAGGCACATGAAGCTATGAAGAATCATGGCTTCTCTTCTGTACTATGACACCTCTGCTTTTAACAGGGATAGTGATCAGTCTTTTTAAATTAAGCTGTCTGTCTTTTTGGGGTATTACAGCACATATTTACACTGTGCACTCAAAGATACAGTCATATGCTTATATCTATGCAAATTACCTGGTGACATTTGCAGCCTCTGTCATGGGAGAGGTGAAATCTATGAGCTGGGACAGAGCAAAGCAGCATTAGATAGGATAGAGGTTCTCTGCAGAAAACTACAGTACACATGGTAAGTCACCAGCAGAAGAGCTGTAGGTATTGTCACCTTACTGTTATGAATTATGTATGGCCAAATTATGTGAAGAAACAGAATTTTCCTGTGCCATACATGAGTTGATGCTAGTAGCTGACTAAGCTAAGCAAGGAACTTGGCTATTTTGACTTATGTTGACACTGGTTGTCCCTGATTAAGAGAACATCAGCTGAGTTTGGATTTGATGGAGAATTGAGGCATTCAGAATGTCTGTGGTTGTGGTCTGGGATCTTTAATGTATTTGCCATCCAAATGAAAATATTGTCTGGGGGTGAAAAAGCCACATGGCCACTACCAGCTGTCTACTTTAGGCCTAACAAGGAGTGGTGAAGAAGCAAAAGTTTTGAAACACCTGAATCACACAGTAAAACTTGTAATTTGCTTTGAAATAGCAATTTTAACAAATAACATTACCCATATGCTGTATACATATGAGATATTTTTGCAATATCTTTATTTTTGAAAAAAAAAAAACCAAACAAACCAAAACTCCTTCCTGTCCAGCAAAAATCCTTTATCACAATGTGTTTTAAATCTGTGTTTCTTCCTTCATGAAAACAACAACAAAATTTAATTTTGCCAGTCTTTATCATAATTTTGACACTTTAAGCTTTGTGCTCATTTCGAGTCAGTAAGACTTTCACTGGCATCAGTGGGAGCAGGACTGAATCTGTAAACTGTTTTTTTGCCATCATTCAAATGCATGGATAAATTTACAGGATTTTGAGAAACCTATGAAGTCCATGAAGTAGGTAAGCCTGTCCCACAGTGCGGAAGAGTGCTGTGGCAAGGCTGATTCTGCAGCAAGGTGCTTCAGCCGAAGACATGCATCTGAGCTGTTGTATGGATTCCTACCTGAGGCCTGGATGAGACATGCTTGGATTAGAGGAATCAGAAACAGGCACAAGTGATGGCCACTTTCCTTCCTGGTATGATGTTGATTATGGGAAAAGATCAACTTACCCATGCTGAATGGGCCCAAGCAGGCTGCAACTGCCAGCGGGATTAAGACTATAATCATTTAATACTTTTATTTTTTTAAATAAGATAAATAAAAAATAGTATTAA